CACATTAAAAAAAAAAAAGATACAGCTGTTAACCAAGATAAGAAACTTCCTTAAATTTCTTAAAAACTAAAGCTTGAGGTTTTTTATATTGAAATGACCTTTCAAATTCATCCTTCTCTTAAAAAATTTGTTTTTCAATAAAATCTCAAAACGAGTTATTTGAACTACCATAAAAGACTTGATCCAATGTTCTGTTTTTGACTCACTGACTTCTGACATGTCTTCTACCACAGAAGCTCATGCAGTTTCATAAAACATTGACAGAGTCTCAAAATACATACGTTCCTCTTGGAGGAAATAGGGGAAGTTTAGATAGCAATAGAAATCTGGTTGAAATCAATTGTGAGTAATCAGAACTACTAGATCAAAACTCTAAGTAAAAGCATTTAAAAAAATTATAACAAACTTGTAGCTTCTTAAGCTGAAGTTCCAAATGCTGTAACTGGAGGGTTTGACCAGGCAGACTAAGAGACTACACAGCAACCTACCCAATTGCTTATAAAAATCCTGTCATTCCAATGCATTATAAAGATTAAGAATTAAAACCAGTAGCAGTATTAATAGTTGTCTTAAGTGTCTCAGTACAGTATTTCCTCTAAAATTAATCAGTTTTCCAAGGTTTTACACCTGAAAAAGGCAGACATGAACTCCTGACTTGTGGCTATTTAATTCCAGTATAAATATATTCCCATTGCTTTATTCCTTTTCTTTTTCACTTGAAATTTCTTTGTTTATTGATTGCTATAGTTTGTAAATTAATATGATACAGTGTGATATTTCTTTAAAACCGTCTTTCAAGTCCCATCGTCAAGACTAAACACGCTTCTTTTTTTTAATTTTTTATTTAACTTTTATTAATTACACTTTATTCATTTTGTATCCCCCCATAAGCTCCTCCCTCCTCCCCTCCCGGTCCCACCCTCCCCCCCTTTCTGCATGCATGCCCCTCCCCAAGTCTACTGATAGGGGAGGTACTCCTCTCCTTCTTTCTGATCTTAGTCTATCAATTCTCATCAGAAGTGGCTGCATTGTCAGGGTTCTAGGTTATCTCCACGGATAGTCCTTTGTTGGAGTATGAGTCTCTGGGAAGTTCCCTGTGTTCAAATTATCTTGTTCTGCTGCTCTCCTTGTGGAGTTCCTGTCCTCTCCAGCTCTTAATATTTCCCACTTCTTACATAAAATTCCATTCACTCTGCCCATCAGTTGGCCATCAGGCTCAGCATCTGCTTTGACAGTCTGCAGGGCAGAGCCTTTCAGAGGCCCTCTGTGGCAGGTTTCTAGGTTGTTTCCTGTTTTCTTTTTCTTCTGATGTCCATCCTCTTTGCCTTTCAGAGTGGGGATTGAACATTTTAGTTAGGGTCTTCTCTTTTGCTTAGTTTGTTTAGATGTACAGATTTTAGTGGGTTTATTCTATGTTGTATGTTTATGTGAGTGAGTATATACCGTGTGTGTCTTTTTGCTTCTGGGACAACTCACTCAGGATGATCCTTTCCAGGTCCCATTTACCTGCAAATTTCATGATTTCCTTATTTTTCATTGCTGAGTAATACTCCATTGTATAGATGTACCACAGTTTCTGCATCCATTCTTCAGTTGAGGGGCATCTGGGTTGTTTCCAGCTTGTGGCTATTACAAATAAAGCTGCTTGGGAAAGAATCATCACCAACCCTTTATCAGACAGAGGACTCATATCCAGTACATATAAAGAACTAAAGAAGCTGAAAAGCAGCAAACCAAGTAATCCACTTAAAAAATGGGGAACAGAGCTAAACAGAGAATTCTCTGTAGAGGAATATCGAATGGCAGAGAAGCACTTAAAGAAATGTTCATTAGCCATTAGGGAAATGCAAATCAAAACATCCCTGGGATTTCACCTTACACCCATCAGAATGGCCAAGATCAAAAACTCAAGTGACAACACATGCTGGAGAGGATGTGGAGAAAGAGAATCCTACTCCACTGCTGGTGGGAATGTAAGCTTGTACAACCACTCTGGAAATCAATCTGGCGCTTTCTCAGACAACTAGGAATAGCGCTTCCTCAAGATCCAGCCATAGCACTCCTAGGTATATTTGCTAAACACGCTTCTTAATGCTTTGCCTCCTAATGCTGACCCAATGGGGGAAAGAATTAGTATTGTGACATAGGAATTTAAGAACAGATCACAAACACTGTGACCCTAGCACTGACTAAATTTTAAGGCCTCCATTGTTTTGTATTTTGGAGGCAGAGTTTGGAGGCAGGACCCTCGGTGTCCTGAAACTTGCTCTGGAGACCAGGCACTTTGTGTTCTTCATGAGGAGTTTTTTTTTTTTTTTTTTTTTTTTTTTTTTTTTTTTTTTT